AAAACAACACAACGCAGGAAAACAAGTGGGCGAGGGTCAAAATCACTGTCAACAGATGTGTGGCTTTCGGCGGGTCGGGTTGCCGACGGTGGGTGGGTACATCGTGGAACACGGGTACACTCTGCGTGCTACCTACTCCACGAGGAGACCGAGCAAAACGGTTCCGTCGCGAGTTCGATCCGTCCCGATGCGCACATCTCGAGAGAGAAAATCTCGCGCGTAGCATCGGCGAACCACCAAAACAAACAGCTGCTTTCCGCACCACCACCCGCCACCCCCCCCCTCTCCTTGTTTTCCACCATTCATAGCAGCAGCAGCAGCAGCAGCAGCAGCAGCAGCGCCTGCACACCTGACCGCGCTTCTCCGCCTCCCGCTCCAGTATCGGTTGGAGAGGCCCGAGGAGGTTGATGAAGTCCGCTCGCTCCAGCACCAGGCAGTCCACATAGCCTACCCCGATGACGTTGGCGGCTCTGGGCTCGTTCTTGAGGAGGGCGCGCTCGCCGAAGAACTCCGACTTGCCCAGGCGCATGATCTCGCGCTCCTCGCCTGTGCCCGGCACGTTGCAGGTGCACCTCACCTGCCACATGTGGGTGATTTGTCACCACGCTTCTGCTCGTTATGGGTGTCGTCGGCTTTGCTTCTTTTATGTGCTGTTGCTGTTCTTTTGTTTTTAAATTGAAGTTGTGGGGTGTGGTCTGCTTTGCATTTTGTGCGGTTGCTGTCCCGTTGTTATTATAGTTGTGGGTGCGAACACACGGCAGGTGTGTAGGCGACAACGAAACACGGACAATCGTTATTGCACTTGTGTGGGAGGTGGCATGTGCGCTCCCCATGATACCGCCTGCTGCCGGAGGTCAAAACACACGGCCGTGAGAACATCACAGCACGAATCAACTCGCCCGACAGCCTCCGGAACCATACCGGCACCTCCACACCCACAACATTTCAACAAAGCTGGGTGCAATATTGCCGTGGAGAAGCGTTATGAATTGCTTTTTTCTCTTCACGCTCTGCACCCCTCTACTACTGTTATGGTTGTCAAAGCGGAAAACTTCCTGTAGGAAAAAATTCGACAAAGCGTCTTCGGATCTTGCTGATGGAAAACCGACCAACCAATGAAATTGCACGGAACCGTCGGAACCTCCCGAAAAGACCCTCTGACGCACACGCGCGAGGGCGTGGCTCGCCTGCGTGCTTTGCGCCCTGCTATGGGGCACAGCACAACACCATTGTGCGGTCCCACTCTAGAACACATGCCTCACGACACACCCGAGCAGCAGCCGGGCAGCGAAGCCACGCAGACACCTGCCGCCGCCGCTGCTGCTGCTGAGAAAAGCAGCAGCAGCAGCAGCGGCGGCGGCGGCGGCGGCGGCAGCGAGGTTGAGCCTGGCTCCCTTCCACAATTTTCTTACTTTTGACCAACTCTTCTTTCGTTTCCTTCAGCGTTCTCTCTACGACGGTGAGGCTGCCGCGTTCGATAGCGCGCCGCGTGTTATCTTCTGCTGACGCGGCAACCATACACTGCCCCGTCCTCTCTTCAAACTTCTTTTTGTTTTGATTCAGCTTTCGGGCAGCGCGCCTCCTGCTGCCGAACGGCGCGGACCTCGATTTTTTTTTTGGGAGGGTCTGCTGGTGTGGGCGCTGCAGCCCCACTGGGACAGTTTTCAGACATGTAGATCTCGTGGTTGGCTGATGTGATTCGGATGCGGTTTGTTGTGTGGTATAGCTGTACACCCCAGGTAGAGGGCTGTAGGTTCGCTTTCACGAGAGGAGCAAAGGTCGCCTTGGGCGTGGAGCAAATAGCCCAAAAAACCATGTTTTTGGTGTTGTTCGTCCGCCCTTCTACTCTAAGAGAAAACCTATCCTACAGTCACCTCTATTGGACCTGTGTCCAGGTTTGTGTAACGCATGAAGAGCCATGCTGCTGTGTGGACGCAGAGCTACCTGTACAAACAAATTGACTTGATGTATAATTTATTCAGTATTAACAGCGGGATTCTCAATAACCAAAAAAAGAACCAAATCCGCGTGCCCCCCTCAAATTTCGCCGAATGAACCGGACGTTTTTTTGGCCCCAAATTCCGCCGCTTTGACACCCCTAACTGTTGGTTCGTTTCCCTCGGCAAGATAAATACAAACACCTCTCGCTGTTTCTGACATATTTCGGCACTTTGCCTGTTTCCTTGTGGCATCATGACACATAGAATTCTCTCTGTCTCTGTCCATGCACCTTCGGTGGTGACGTTAGTGAACACATTTCTCGACAGGGTCACTAGATGAAGGACTTACTGTTATCACCATCACAGCAGAAGAGTCTTGTTTCCTCATTCCTCACCTCCCCGTCGTTGATGATGAAGAATCTCGTCCCCTCCTCCCCCTGGCGGATGATGTAGTCTCCCTCGTCGAACGATTGCACGCACCTAACATAACAACAACAGAACCAAGAGAGGGTGTGCATCAAACGAAATAACACAAACAATCTGATCGCGGGCGTGGAGGTGAGCGCTTGGCGGGGGAGGCGGGGGTGGATAGGGGGGGGCAACAACGCTGATTGATACAACGTGTACTTCGAGACAGCGGTCGAGACGCTCAGCGAGAGGTCACAAACAGAGAACACCCAACTTTACCTCACGAATACCATCAATGTATCGATATCACGTGACATGGGCTTTTCGTGAGGGTACTGCAGGCGACAAAAGATGACAAAACATACCAGCACCGGCAAAGCACCCCCCCCCCCCCCCCCCCCCCCCCCCCCCCCCCCCCCCCCCCCCCCCCCCCCCCCCCCCCCCCCCCCCCCCC